AACTGTGAATTCATAAAGATCTTACCATTGTTTGTGAAAAGCTGCATAAAACCTTATTAGAGTTTTTAAATAAATTTCCCTATTTTTCCATCTTGTTTATTTCTGCCATTATTTAGAATTTAGAATTTCTTTTCAAATAGGCATCCTTTAATTCTTGTTTTAAATAAATATGTTAGCTGGACCTTGTGTCACAGGCTATCCAAGGAATTTTAAAATAAATGCGAACACGTTACAACACATGCTTAATCCTGGCCCTGGGCTACAGGTTAACTGTGTGACCGTACCTGCAATAACACATAATGGGTTTAGCCTAAAACAGGTACCTGCCATTCTACATTCCTTATGTTAGTTTTATTAAAACGTGTGATTAGTATGGGCTGGAGCAATCGAGTGGCCGACCCAGGGTTTGAAAATGTTTAGTTGTGTGGAAAAAAAGTGAAATAGTTAGTAAACATCTGTAGAAAAATATAATAATGTACTGTTTGTAGAAAAAATATTGTTCCCCCTAATTTTCCTGTTCAACTGACAAAACTGCATTCAATTTCTCCATTTATATTCTGCAACTTGTCCTGTTGCCTGTATTAAAATTATGAACTTGTGAAGACAGAAACAATAAAAGTCTTTATATTTAAAATCTTTCTCTTATAATCTTTCATAATTTGTTAGCGTTCCTTCCGCATGTGGGTTTGGAAATGTACTATTATGCTTCATGTACAGTGACGCACAGTGGCAGAACTAACACTGAGATGGTGTTAGTGGAAGAATTTGTTTTGGGTCCCCCTATAGCAAGGATGGCCAATCTGTACAACTTGCACAATAATTTGCCAGCTGGGGATCTACTATTTTCCCATACTTGCAGGGTTGTACTTAGCACTGAGCACTGTTTGTGGTTTGAATATAAGCATGTTTTTATATGGAGCATGTGTGAGGAAGTTTAGGTGTGAGTTTATATGCAGTGTTGGAGTTTGAATGCAGGCATGAATGTGTGTGTAGTGTTGTTTTTTTAAATGCAAGAGTGTGTATATATATATAACAGTGATGGCGAACCTGTGGCATGCCGAGCCCTCTCTGTGGGCGGCCAAAAGGTCCCGAGGGGAAGCGGGCACCGGTCGGCAGCAATGCAGAGTGCCTGCCCAAAACGCCAGGCGCCTACTCTGCTTTCGTATCGGGAGGACATTAGAGGTCCCCGTTCCATCCTCTTGCCAGTGGTGGTTATCCCGGCACCTGCTTACTGGCTTTGTGGCTGTACACACCCGTATAGACTCCTGATATAGATATCTGTCTTAATGTAAGACAAGCAAGATGGCGGACGTGCCACTTTCACAAGAAACTACAAATTCTCATGGCCTAATGGAGCAGTCCTTGCAAAGACTAGAGGACACTGCTGATGCCACGAGAGGGAAACTTAAAAAGCAACAATTCGGAGGTGAGCAAGGCCCTTTCAGGCACAATTAATTGGCAACCACCTAACCCTTTCTCTGTCTTCCCACCTAGGCTGAGGGCTATGCGGGGACGCCCTCCAATGCATTGTTCACATGGCTGGAAGACTGCCTGCCATCAGCGGCTACAAAACAACACGGTCTTCTGTTACTCCTAAAATGGGATATACTTGGATTATTAGAGGCCCCCAGTATGTGGTTTTAAGATACCGGCCTTTGTACAAGATTTGGGGCTGGAAGATGGCCATATCTCATTCCCTTAGTGAAGGTACCCTCTTTGTCTCACCTACACTATTTCCCACTCTGGGTGTTGGACAAGTGGGATTTCATATGCATGGATAGCCTTACAGTCCACTCCAAGAGTTTATTTTCTTCATAATGGATGCTATCAAGATCTTTCTTGGGCTACCAGAGTCCTAGCCTGATATTCAAGACTATGTTTTTCTATACATTTTTCATTTTCTTTATGTTTCAATCGTTAATTTTGTGGCACAGTTTTCCTGTAGAATGCTCGGGCTCCATATGGTCTGTTTAGTCTAGCTTCAGTGGGCATTACCTCTTCTTCATATCTCCCTTGTTTTACTGCAGTACTCTTTACCTAGCTAACCTTATCCGTTTTATTATGACTTCTAGTTGTTTTACTCAGTTTCCAAACGTAGTCCAGCACTTAGACAAGTATGCCTAGATTAAACATTATTTGTATTTCAAGCATGTAATATGAGGACAGTTTAACATAAGCCTGCTCTCCTAGACAAGAACGCCTAACCGGTTTCTATTATTTTTCCATAAAATTGTGCTGAACCCCTCTCTATGCCTCAAAACTGTTATGATTACTCATGCTGTTGTGGCACCACACACTAGTTTTTGTATTCACATGCACAGTAAAAATAAAGATTGACAGGAGTGAAGAGGGAAATTCCTGTCCTGGTCGGGGAGAATTGCAGCAACAAAAATGATCCTCCTGCCCAAAATTCAGTACCTTTTTAGGACACTCCCAATCCAACACAACAAAACATACCTCCAGGTACAGCAAATCCTAAATGCCTTCGTCTTGGGACTTAAAAAACCTAGAGTTGTGAAGGAAACCCTGTATAAATTGTTCGCCCATGGTGGTATGGGACTCCCAGATATACTAGGATACTATAAAGCCGCACACATAGCCACTCTGCTCTCCGCATTGCACCACCCTAACATCCTTGGCGTGGATTCCCATGCAAAAACGACCAAAACACCAACACGCCCTACCCACAACTACACTCACTCTACAAATCTGGGACGGCTACCGTAAAAGACTAGGCCACAGGGACAGGGTCTCACCTGCCTTACGTATACAGGCCTCACCATGACTCATCAACTTCAATTACAAAATATGGGAGAGACACAGAGTCCACACACTCCTCCAACTACTTCAGGGATCCCGCCTCAAAACATTTCAAGATCTCCAATCCGAATTCCACATCCCTAACATAGCACACTTTTCCTATCTCTAACTGAAATCTTGCGTCACGCCACAATTGTCACCACACACGATAACCCCGCTAGGGCCCCACCTTCCCCTCAACGAAAGCCACAATGGCAGCACTAAACCCATCAGAGAACATCCCCATTGCCACAACCTGCACTGAAAAGACAACGAACCACCTCCCACAGACTCAGCAGCCCCTCAGGCCACAGGCTAAACGGGCCCCACCAGGTCACCTTAGACCCCCACTAAGCCACACGACACAACATCTAAGCACCCGCCATCTGGGGCACCTGAGGAGGTCCAAAACTATGCCTGAGGGCTACTTGCTCTGTAATGGGTGTTGCCCCCCACAGCCACTCCTCACTGTTCCCCCCCCCTTCTCCCGCATAGGTTAGCTCATTGCACCATATACCAGCTAGGATGTATTTATGTACTGATAACTGCCTGGGGGGAGGATAGCGGTTCTCACCCCTTCCTCCTCCTCAGACTCGGGTGTGATGTAATATAAAAAATGTTACAGAGTCTGATTGATATCTACACTGTTGCTTTTGTATTACTCTCTGTATCACCTGCTTCAAATTAACGAAATATGTACTTAATGTATTGATACACTGTGCTAGAATGTCAATCTTGTAGTCTGATACCCTTTTCTCTTCTGTACCTCCTGTGAAAAATAAATATTAAAGATTGACTTAAATAGTAGAAGATATGCCTGAGAGTGAACAGTGTAGATTAATTGAGAATAGCCAGAACAAGTAAATAAGCAATAAGCTCATAAAAAAACCAACAGAGAAGGACATAGAAATATAAAGCTGCATATATAAGTACATATAAATTGCTCAAATATAAGTGAAGTGGGAGTATTGGAAAAGAAAGACATTAAGATGTGTGTTTATATAAAGTTTGGGTAGTGTTTCAGAAAGCCAGAATCTACACCTTATGGTGCACCGTGTTTGCAGATGAGCACAAATACGATCCCTTAATGTTGTATGTTTTGTTACTGTGTCTGGCTGTGTTATTGCCACGTATATGTTGGCACAGTTTGCAGAGTGATTTGTTACATCGTACAGTGCCATTCTGTGTGAGCTCTTGTTCTGGAGTCAACTTGCTGCAGACCAATCTTTGCCTCCAGTTAGGTGGTTGTGTGAATGCTAGTATGGGGGGCTGAGGAAATATTTATTTGAGTGTGGGTCCTCTGACATTAACGGCTTTAAAGCCTTTAATAATGTTACAAACTTCATCTAGAGTTGGGTTGTAGGTAACTACTTTTAAAAGGTATCATTGCTTTCTGCAATACTCTGGTATTTTGCCTTCTTGACTACTGGATGAATACGGCTAATCCATCTACATTATCATTATTAGCAAATAGCTCTGCTCATGTTTTCTCTAGAGTGGAGCTTATACTAGGTGAGCTTTACATTGCCTTTGCAAGTAAGGACTGGTTCAGGCATGTTTCCCAAAGTGCATGCAAATACATAATGTTAGATGGTCTTTGGAGTAAGGACAACAAAAGTGCTATAAATCAGTTTTAAAAATAATGCAAAAAATTGATTTTATTTTCATCTAGGCACCCTATGTACGCTTAACTGGAAATTGAATCACTGCTTGAAGATTTGCAAGCGTTGTATTATGGAGGTACCCATTTTAGAATTGCGTTCACAATTTTCAAACACTCTATGACAGTTACTGATAAAAGCACATATACACACTAGCATCTGTGTGACTATGTTACCATTTCTAAGGTGTAGATTTAAGTGTGTGTGTGTGTGTACACACACATACAAAACAAAGGATTATTTTTTTTTTAAATCAAACTTTTCACTGGTTTATTAACTCCAAAAACAGATAATCATAACATACGAAAATTTCAGTCTCAACATGAGACATTTCTTATGAAATTATTAACCATTAATGTAATTATGGTTAATTCTGATATGGTTCACTTTACCCGTTTAGTAATAGCACATGTACTGTACCGAGGTTGGTACCAATAAATGTTTAGTAACGATGAAAATGCAACATATAATAGGAGATAGTCCATTCTCTCCTTATCACTGGAACATTGTTGAATGGATTTTATAAACGTGTCATGATACAAACTGCCATCATATTCTTTCAATCCAGTCTGTCACTTCAGCACATTCTTTTTGTAACAGGACAATAGCAGCTGCTAGCATAGATTAGGAGCATTCATTCAGCAATGGGAAAACATACTGACTATAATACCGTTTACCATGTATTTATTTTAAAATTTTACCTCTATGTTTATACGCTTCACTTTTTATTCCTTATTTGTTATATAAATTATATACAAAATTATGTTTCAGATTGATTTTATATGGTTTTAAATTAAAGCTTAATATTATAGAGTACAGTATTGTGCAAGAATCCTACCATTGTGATGCTATAATATTGCTATTAGATATGGAAGAGGTGGTTTTCTATTAGAACTTCATCGTGGGAATATTGTGCACATGCAAAACTGGATCTCTGGGGCAGCTAATTCACTTAAAAAACAATAAATGAGAATTGCTCACACGAGAAAATAGAATTAGGTGATGGTCAACCAGTGATCATTCTCTTTATTTATATTTATATATATATTTAAATTTTAAAGGAACACTTCAAGCAGCATAACAACTACAGTGCACTCTGGTGGTTATGGTGCCTGGAGCCCTTCAAAGTAAGCCTTTGTCGAAGGCTCACAGAAGCTGAAACATTGCACTTTATATCTCAATAATTCTCTGTGGGATTATGTCCAATTTTGCCTGGTCTCTCTCTCTTGTGTATTGCTTTGCAGTGGAGCCGCACTTGACACTAGATATTCCTCACCTTTTTGTACCTTGTCATCTTAACATAACCCTTAGTAAACGAGTCAAACTGTTTGCTAATGGTTGGACTACTTACCAGGGGTCTGGTGAGTGCAGGTCTCTGCCTCTGCCACTACCGGATGTGCTCCACCTCAGCTACGTACGTCTATTGTTAAAGAGAGCATAGTTCACTGGCTGAGAGTGGTCAGATAGCTGAGAGACACAACTGGGGACAGCCACAAAAACAGGTTAACACTGAGCAGGAAGTCAAATTAAAGAAAGTAAAAAAAAAAAATTAAACATGTTGGAGAGAAATTCATATATTACACACGAATTCTACACACATATACTTGTGTGTTTAGGGCCACAGTCAGGGAGGTACCGCCCATACAGATATATATATACATATATATATATATATATATACACACACACACACACACACACACACATACATACATACACACACACAGCTACAGGTCCCGGTAAAATTTCAGGCTTGTATGGTGAGGGGGGTTCCGGGAGACCCTCAGCCGTTACATCTGCCGAGTCTTCCCTCTCTTGGCCTGTTACCACAGCAGCACTCCAGTACCAGGCTTGTGAGAAAAGCTTGCACATGGTGGAGGTGAAGGCTGACAGTGTTTAAGAAACACTGGACCATCAGGGAATGTTATGTACCCCTCCTAGGCCAAACTAGGAAGTAGGGAGGCGGAATAACCATTACTAAAACAAAAACATATTAATAAAAATGAAAACTGCTAATTTTTCACACACACACACACACACAACACAGTCCCATCCCACCCCAGAAATTCAATACTGTGCACACATTAAACCAACTGCTTTCACTGCACACACTGAACCCACAGTACACACACTGCATCCATTAAACAAACCGCATCCACTGTACACACACTGCATCCATTACACAAACTGCGTCCACTGTACACATACTGCATCCATTAAACAAACTGCGTCCACTGTACACATATTGCATCCATTAAACAAACCGCATCCATTGTACAGACACTGCATCCATTAAAAAAAACCGCATCCACTGTATACACACTGCATCCATTAAACAAACCGCATCCACTGTACACGTACTGCATCCATTAAACAAACTGCGTCCACTGTACACACACTTCATCCATTAAACAAACCGCATCCACTGTACACACACTGCATCCATTACACAAACTGCGTCCACTGTACACATACTGCATCCATTAAACAAACTGCGTCCACTGTACACATATTGCATCCATTAAACAAACCGCATCCATTGTACAGACACTGCATCCATTAAACAAACTGCATCCACTGTACACACACTGCATCCATTAAACAAACCACATCCACTGTACACATACTGCATCCATTAAACAAACCGCATCCACTGTACACACACTGCATCCATTAAACAAACCGCATCCACTGTACACGCACTGCCTCCATTAAACAAACCGCATCCACTGTACACACACTGCATCCATTAAACAAACCGCATCCACTGTACACACACTGCATCCATTAAAAAAAACGCATCCACTGTATACACACTGCATCCATTAAACAAACCGCATCCACTGTACACGTACTGCATCCATTAAACAAACTGCGTCCACTGTACACACACTTCATCCATTAAACAAACCGCATCCACTGTACACACACTGCATCCATTAAACAAACTGCGTCCACTGTACACACACTGCATCCATTAAACAAACCGCATCCACTGTACAGACACTGCATCCATTAAACGAACCGCATCCACTGTACACACACTGCATCCATTAAACAAACCTCATCCACTGTACACACACTGCATTTATTATATAAACCACATCCACTGTACACACACTGCATCAACTATATCCTGGATTATTTTATTAATCTGGACTGCAGGCATTCACACTTTGATGAATAAGTCTATATTTAGTTGTTCTGTCGGACTATGGTGGATGAACCTCTGTGTTTCTCTTGTGCACAGTGTAATAGAGAAACGTGGAGCTTTAAAATCACCCCAGGCTTTAAAAAGTGTAACACTGGTTGCTTCTAATGCAGTTACACCCACTGGGGCGTGCAGTCAGAAACTGTCTGTTATAGGTGATCCTCAAGGTTTTATAACACATTCCTACTTCAGCTACTGTGTGAAGATCCTGCGGTTTCATTGTACTATTCATTCTGCTGGTGAGTAAACACAAATTCTTATTTATTTTAATACTAAATGGTATATTATATAATAAAGAATATTCATAGTAAAACATTATCTGGTGCCATAACACACTTGGTTAGTGTACCAGCTGCCTATTCTGTTCAAACCTCAGGACTGCAGGTTTAAATCTCAGCATTGGCTAACTTGGCCTTTGAGTCTTTTGTGGTCCATAAAAGAAATGCAGTTGAGTCAGCTAATAATAAGGTGTTATCAAGACAAAATACAAAAAAAAAAAAATGTATTACACTCTTTTTGGTTAAACACTTTCACTGTTAAATGTTGTAAATAATTTACACCAGCAGGCTATATCTCTGTGACACATTATGACATTGATTTGGGATCTCAATTTTCATTTATTCAGTTATAACGTATCTTTTTTCAAGCACAAGGTCCATGATCCAAATGAATGAACTATTTCTAAACACTCCAGTTCTACTTTTATATCACGGAAGTTTTCTAGAGTTTGAGACACGTGTGCTGTCACATCAGATTACTCACAAACTTACCAAACGTATGCTTCCAAATGTTACTAGGATTTCCTATAGAATTTTTAAAGCAGCACTCCAGACACATATAACACTGCTCCTGTCCTATTGCTGTCATATATGTGACAATTTATAAAGGTGCAAATGTTGTGAAATCACCAATTTTATTCATGATGGCAGAAACACCTCCTTGGTGGTCACTCAGCAGATGCATAACTCCCAAGTCATCCTTTTTAGGAGGGACAGTCCCTATTGTAGATTGAAAAACCTCTGTTAATCTTTTGTATCCAAATTGTTCTCTTTTTTTATGAGCTCCATCTTTTTGGTGTTTCTGAGTGCATAACAGAGCTCCACAGCAATAATACTTGTCAGGGCCGGTCAGGGCCGGTGCGACTGTCTAGGGCTCAGTCTCGAGTGAACGGCAAGAGGGGAGCGCACTGCACAGTGCTCTCCTTCTGCCAGTCACTTCATGTAGCGTAGCGGAGCCGAATAAGAGCTTCTGTTTCCTTATCTGATCTGATAAAAGAACATTAAACCGCTTCCTGCCACAGGGGAGAGGTTACAGAGGCTCCTTTACTGTGGTCCATGGCTCGGCCACGCTAAATACAGGAGGGAGGTGTGTGGGCACAAGGAGGGGGAGAATCCACAAGGGGAGTGGGAGATGCACACAGAGGGCTGTGCGGGATAAGGGAAGAAGCACAAAGAGGGCTGAGGGAGGGAAGAGAGGCATACAGAGCTAAGGGAGGTGGGGAAGAGGCACACAGAGGTCTGAGGGGGTGAAGAGGCACACAGAGGACTGATGGGGGAGAGGCACACAGAGAGTCTGGAAAAGGGGAAAAAGAGACAAAAGGGTTTGAGGACAAAGAGACACACAGAGGGACTGGAGGGAGCAAAGAGACACACAGAGGGGTTGGGAAAAAGGAAGAGACACACAGAGGGGGTGGGGGGCAAGAATTAAACCAACTAAGGTGCTGCGGGGTAGAGACACACAGAAGGGCTGTGGAAGGGGAAAAAGAGACACACAAAGGAGTTGGGGGAGAAAAAGACACACAGAGTTGAAATTTATTTTGCGGGGGGGGAATATGGGCGCAAGTAGCTGGTCTTGCCTAGGGCGCAAAATATTGCCCTGACAGTAGTGTGTTTGTAAACTACAATAAGAAATACAAGATCTTTCTAAATTATATTTTTAGTTGCATAAATTGTGTTTAGTAATTCACCTTAAATTTCTCAGAATTGCTCTATACCTGGTCAGCCCACAATAACACTCCCAAAATTAAATTGTCTCTCTAGTTCCACTTTAAATGTTGGAGTTATGTAGACGCAATGGGCTAGCGAGCTCCTGTCTTTTCCCAATCTGAATAAGTTGTACTACAGCTCATTGAGAATTGTTGGAAAGCGGTGATGACTTGTGATTGCTCCTGGCTCCAGCACAGTGCCAGGGAAAGAGAGGAGGGCTTGCAAAGGCAGGTAAACAGCTTTTGGAACCTGAATTTTTTTTTTTCATAACCCTCTAAAATTCATGCAGACAAAAATACATGCATGTTTGCTATAGGGGCATATCTATTCAATTGTTTATGTAAAATGGTGGTGATATACTACATTGTAATGTAGTTCTTGTTGTGTGAGCACCATATAGTGGTGTAAGTATAGTCCACCCATTCAGCTAGGGGTTCAAATTAAAAACCAAAACCAAGAGGGCTGCACTTACCTGAACACGCACACACCATAGGGTGCTGCTGGGGCCAAAACATACAAAACACAGAATCCAGCGCACTCGCTTATTCACTAAACAATGATTTCAAATCTTAGAGATAGTAATAGTTTTATTTAAAAACACCTCACCTAGGCAAAAAAGAATGGGGGTTTAGTTACATTATATGATCATATATTGCATAAGCCTGCCACAACGTCAATGTACCCGATACTTGGCAGGTCCTACACTAGGCGTTGTGGCGGGCTTATGCAACTATTTATTTATTGATTTGTTTTTATTGTTTAGGTTCTATCCATTTGGACTTTAACTTGTGCAATAGGCAGCTAGTTTTTTAGATTCTCTGTCTACCTAGCAATGTCACTACTTAGTAGATCTGAGTTACCCAGGTGGTCTATGCAGGGCCGGATTAACATAGGGGCTGATGGAGCTGCAGCTCCAGGCCCAGGCCCAGGCCCATGGAATAGGCCCATTTAAAAAAAAAAAAAAAAATTAATTTTTTTTTTTTTTTACACACTACTCTTAGGTTTGCCACCTGACTGGTATTTTAATGGCACAGACGGTATTTGAGGCTGCCTGGCCGTGCCGGTATTGCAGTAATACTGGCAATACAAATGCAGGTAATTTTCTCAGAATAATTGGAAATTACTCTGCAATACCAGCACCGGCCAGTAGGGGTCACTGTGTGTGGAGAGAGGCAGGGATAGGAAGTAACAGCATATCCCTCCCTGCCTATCTCTACTCACTGATCCGTGGGGGAGCAGCTACACAGCACAGAGAGTCCAGACAGCAGCTCTACAGCTCAGGTAAGTGAGGGATGGGGGGGAAGGCAGCAGGGACACATGGGGACACTGAGACACTAGGGGACATATGGGGACACAGATACTAGGGGGCATATGGGGACACTGAGACACTAGGGGACACAGACACTAGGGGACACATGATGACACATACACTAGGGGACACTGAGACACTAGGACACAGACACTGGGAGACCTGGGAACACTGAGACACTTGGGGACACTGGAAAACATGGGGACACTGAGACACTAGGGGACACAGACACTTGGGGACATATGGGGACACAGACACTAGGGGACACATGGGGACACTGTCACTAGGGGACACTGAGACACTTGGGGACACTGGAAAACATGGGGACACAGACACTAGGGGACACATGGGGATGCTGAGACACATGGGGACGCTGTGAGACATAGGGACATTGGGAGATATTGGGACACGGAGACACTATGTCCCCCAGCCAGTGTCCCTAGTGTCTCAGTGTCCCCAAGTCTCCCAGTGTCTGTGTCCCATGCCTCTCAGTGTGCCTAGTGTCCCCATGTGTCCCAGTGTCCTCATGTCTATGTCCACAACTGTCCCCATGTCTCCCCAAGTGTCCCCTAGTCTCCCAGTGTCCCCTAGTCTCCCAGTGTCCCCTAGTCACCCAGTGTCCCCTAGTCTCCCAGTGTCTGTGTCCCTAGTGTCTTAGTGTCCCCAAATGTTTCAGTGTCTCCATGTCTCCCAGTGTCTGTGTTCCTAGTGTCTCAGTGTGCCTGGTGTCCCCATGTCTCCCAGTGTCCCTACATGTCCCAGTGTCCACATGTCTATGTCCACAATTGTCCCCATGTCTCCCAGTGTCCCCAAGTGTCTGTCTCCCAGCCAGTGTCCCCTAGTCTCCCAGTGTCTGTGTTCCCATGTCTGTGTCCCTAGTGTCTTAGTGTCCCCAAATGTTTCAGTGTCCCCATGTCTCCCAGTGTCTGTGTCCCTAGTGTCTCAGTGTCCCCATTTCTCCCAGTGTCCCCATGTCTCCCAGTGTCCCCGGGTCTCTCAGTGTCCCCAGCATCCTAATGACATGGGGACACACTGAGACATTGGGACACTGGGAGAAATGGGGACACAGACACTGTGAGACTGAGACACTGGAAGACAGGGAGACACTGGGAGCAATCAATCTATACAGCAGAATCAAACTGTGAGTAGTTTGTTGGTGATTTTACAGAATTTTCTCTGATGTCACTCCTTGTGATTTACATCATGTGATGTCACGCATAACTAATTAATTATACAAATGATTAAGGCTGGTATTTTTTTCCAAGAAAGGTGGAAACCTTAACTACTCTTCACATACTCTTGCTTAAAGGAGCACTATAGGGTCAGGAACACAATCATGTTTTTCTGACCCTATTATGTTAAAACCACCACCCTTGCCCCTTCTTGCCTCCCTAAATATAGTAAAATATTACTTGTATTCAATTCTGTAGCTGCTGGCTCAGAAGTGGTGGTCTGATCAAATTACAATACTTCCCCATAGGATTGGCTGAGACTGTCAACTAGGCAGATCAGGGGCAGAGCTAGCACAAGTCCAACATAGCCCTGGCCAATCAGCATCTCCTCATAAAGATAAATTGAATCAATGCATCTCTATGAGGAAAGTTCAGTGTCTGCATGCAGAGGGTGGAGACACTGAATGGCAGTGCTGCACACTAGGCAGTACTGCCCCAGGAAGCACCTCTAGCAGCCATCTAAGGAGCGGCCAGTGGAGTTATTTTCTCTGAAAAGACAGTGTTTACTGCAAATACCTGAATGGAATGATTCTACTTACCAGAACAAATACAATAAGCTGTAGTTGTTCTGGGGACTATAGTGTTCCTTTAAGTTTGGAAGCTTAAGAGGGATGTATGGGAACAAAACTTGTGTGCACTGGCTAGTTTAGGTAATGCAGACGTTGGTCTCTCTAACACTGTGGCATGTCCCCTTTCTTCTACACTCACTACAGACAACTTTTCTCTGTCTCAGACTATATACCAGGAACTTCTGCCTGCTAGTAAGAAGGTAAGGAGACAAGTGGACCAGCGAGTGCTAGGGGACAGTCCTTAGAAAGAATGGAGTGAGAGCATCATCATTAGACGCATTTATGTCAAGCTCAAGGTGCTGCCTGTATAGTATGCCCTTAGTTGGACAGCCTGCAGGATTGGGAGGCAGCCTGACATGCATTCATGCCAGGCTGACCTTCCAATTCTTTGGACAAACATGCCCCCTTTTGGGCATGTTCACCCTTTTGGCAGGTCTTGTCACGTGATTCGCACCAGTGGCACACCCTTTTACCCCGCCCATTGACTTCCTGCTTCACTGGACACTGCTGTTAGGGGGTATGTATTTACTTGAAAGATGAAAGCATAAATTAGAGAGAGATTAGCATAGAGTATGTGTTTTATTATAGCTGCATCCTATGAGTTTCCCTCCAGCACCATCTCCATCAGATACATGACGCTTGGGAGGTATGATTGTTTTAGTGTTTTTGGTTGATAAGATTCTGTAATTAGGCCCATCATAATTGTCAGCACCAGGCCCACTGGGCTCTTAATCCGGCCCTGGGTCTATGTATATTTTTTGCTATTATTCTCCACATCAAGCTTACTGTTTGAATTCTATTTCTTTTTATTCATATTTTTCTATTTCCACTTACTCCTGATCACCTTATTGTTTTTTTCCAGTAGCAATTCTGATTTTTTATTATTTCCATTTATAGCTCAAGGTGGTAGCTATTTTTATTCAGTGAGATAGTGGTTATAGTTGCTTAGTTTAACTTTAGTGGGACATCACACCAACATTTTGGGTGTGATTTCCTGTTTTAAAGTTTTTTTTATCCATTCTACTTCATTAATTACACACTGCATAAATAATGGATGTAAGCATGTTTTGGAAGGCGGGTTTTGTTTTTTGGGGGGTCGGCAGCATTTCACCTATGGACCCAGGCAGCACAATGCCTTTGGCTGGCCCTGGGTGGACTAACAAACACGTAATTATAACCAGTCGAGTTAGATGTACAAGAACAGAGGGGTTGAGGGCCCTGCTTAATGAGCTTACACGCTAGAGGGAGTGGGGTAGAGTGACACAAGGTAAGGATAGGAGTAGAGAAGTAGGTTGGTGGATGAGTATTCACTGAAGACTTAGTGTTTTGATGACAGTTGCAGGAGAGGAATGGGGGGGCGGGGAGCTAATAACAGTTTAATAAGTGGATTTACATCCTCTTATGAAGGTGTAGTCTGTGCATGCACTTATAGCTGCTTGAAATGGAATGCTTGCTGTTGGGGTGGCATCTAGTGGGGGTCTCAAATATGTTAGGTGAGGGTGGACCTTCGTTAAAGTGATATCACTATAAAGGATAATAGAATTTGTCCTACTTCCCCCTCATGCCCACCCTCCCCTCCTCCCCCCCACCCCACCCTCCATCCCTTAAAACAAAATAAATAATGAAAGGGCAGATTCAGTGGGGCACAAAACTCTGTTAACACGATATTGTACAATTCACAAACATATCACAGACCGTGAGGCTGTTATGTACTTTATTAGCATGGGCTGTAGGTCTGTAGTAGAATTGACACATGAGGCAGTCACATGGTATAAATAAACATAATAGTAACAACATTGCAAATGTCATTAAATAAATCAATTTAAAATAAACTGTACTTTCAAGAGCAACTGGTGCTAAATTCAGAAACTGACGAGGGCCCAAGTGAAACATATAAAAGACTACCAAGGTCATGATGCGAAATTGCCGGAGCAATGTAGTTCCACTTCCCATTCCCTTCTCCCTCCCGGAACATTTCTTAATCAGTGTACTCCTCCTTTATGCAACACTCTGGCTTAATTTCCAACTTCAGACAAATGAACAGAGTTACACATCTTACTCAAGTGTTAGAACAATCTAGCAAGGGCAAAAATGTGCTCTTGCCTGTCAGTCAATATTTAGCACAAATGCTTTAGCAATGGCATAGTCCTCTATGCAAAGAACTGATATACAGGTGAGGGGAGGGACCACATTTTTATTTAGATATATGTAAAGAAATGTATACAAGTTCTATTAATTCTACTAGCACAGTAGCACAGTACATAGGTGTAATTGTATGCATTTGTATTAGAACCTATTTTGGAATACCAATGACGGATGTGCACTTAGTGTTAAAAAGATCAGTTCCTGCATAATGAAAATCACTGTCTCTTTTAGAGTTGTAGAGCCTGTCTGACCACAAAGCTATTTCACTGTCTCATTAGTGACTGAACTGAACTGTAGCCTGTGGGTTAGCAGTTGGAGTTATTAGTTTTACCATCAAACTCCCATGGAATTGTGGGTAAAGAGATCTACACTATAATTAATTACTTAGTAATAACACACATTGTTTCCTATGTACCAACAATTGCAAAAGGCTTGGGAGGTTATTTAACTTTCCAGTTCTCAGGTAAACCAGCTAGTAAACATGAAAATATGATACATTATACAATCTAAGATCTAACAAATTATATACTTGCAGTTTCTTACAGTATTTAACTCAGGTTACAATGAAAGTGGACTGTGTATGATTTTTGTTTTAATTTGTGCTGAAGACAAAGTTACATTTATCGTTTATTAAAAAAAATAATACTCATGAAGATATATGGTAATAGGAGTTCTAAATTAAGAGCAGAAACTGCTATTCCACAAATTTACAGACATCACTAAGTATGTTCTAGAGGGGCCTTGAGGGTAAAATGACTTATATAAGAATAAGGGAGTTACATAATGAAGGAGATGTAACAGTGGATATATGCTAGAAATGTGTGCATATTGACATTCTATGCACAAATGAATGAAAAAGAGTCACATTACACACAAAAGGTATTTCATTGGTTCATTAAAACCTAAATACGGAGCTCTGTAAAAAGGATACCATTAAGATAACCTGTCATCTGTTTCCAATTTCTAATAAAATTAATTACTTTAATAAATACAGTTATTAAAAGGTAGTCAATGTAGCACCACAGTGTCAATGTGTATAGCGAATATTAAGTATAAAATATACTTATCTTTTAAGTTAAATTGAACAGCCTCCCTAGTTAAAGTAGGTCTGTGGACGTTTACTTAAAAGAATCAATGAAACTGGAGGGAATATAATGGTAACCACTTGATAGCTTCTACTGCCTTGCACAAATAGCTTAATTCAGGTTTTTTATTGATGAAATGAAACACATCTGCCAAAAATCAAAATAAAGCATAAAATTCTACAAGCATTTCACTGCTTTACTTACCTGTAAACTTTAAAATTTCAACATTTTACTTATTTAGACAATGTTTTATAAGGAAGAATACAATTAGGGTCCGTTGGCCGTAGGGGGCAATTAAATGTACCAGAAATTGTCCTTTGCGGCAACCACCATCTTCTTCTTCCTGGAGGTATTCTTTAGCTCCTCAGTGCCACTCCCCCCCCTCCCCCCCCATGCCTCCTCCTAGCCAACACTGCTCTGTGCATGCCTGTGGGAACTAATGATAAAGCTTGGCCCAGTGCGCTATTAAAGGGCCATAGAGCTGACACGTTCCCTAATCAGAGATGTCCATTGGATGGCCCTAAATGTGAAGACCACATAAAGTCCATTTTTAAAGGAAGCCTGCCACTGCTGGGCTTCCTGAGTCACCCAGGTCCCAGTCTCACTCACACTGTGTGCAACCCTGGGTGCTCCGCCACTTAATACAGTATGTAATCAGAGAATAAAAGAAACACTGCATTTGCTATAGAACATATGGTAGTTGTTCTGGACAATTTGAGTGCATTCTCTCTGTTTTCAAAGAGTTTGACAGAATTGGTGATTGATCTCCTGAACCTCAAACCCCAGCCATAACCTGCCCTCTTTGTTTGCAGCCTGCTATGAAATGACAATGTGGATAGATACTTTGCAGTATCTGGACTATGAGGGGTCGGCTCTGAGGGCTGAAAGAACATGAAATACAGATTAACAAAAAACAGATGTGCGGTACTCAAAAATCCCTCTACCATAATCAGTAACCTGTAATAAGGAACTTAAAGTGTCCCTTAAAAATTAAATAATCAGCATTTCTATTTCTAAGTTTTTACAGGTTAACTTTTATCTATATATAAATTATGACCAGTACTGTAATGAATTGTTAATTAATTAGTCAACATATGTCTCCGATAGCACTTTTTGTTTGCAGCACGGTACTGCTCTAATCACTCCAATTCTTTATTTTCCTAGTTATCGTATTACAACTGTGCCTGAACAACTGAAACACTCTCTAAAAAAATCAAATATTTTCACCATGGATGAGTTAAAGGAGCAGAGAATTTTGGAGTTTGTTCTTCAGAATGCAGTGCGTGGTGACCCACAGAGTGTGGTGGACAATATAGATCAGTACTGTAGGCACAAAGAGTGGGCCATGAATGTAGGCGATGAAAAGGGTAAGAATACTTTTACATCATATTTTGTTAAAGATCATACTCCATAATATTGCAGACTGACCATTACATTGCAGAAAGGTCCAACAATAAAGGTCCAACAATAATCATATACACGGATATAATTGCTGAGCCCCAGTGGCTTAGATGATTCTTAAGTCCTGCTAAGACATTGCACATACCACAAGTACCTTAGCACTTGGATCAAGTTGTGACGAAGTGCCCTTCGCCACTTGGTCCTGGAGAGGCCTGCTTGCCAGCCTCCTCCCCTGTCACTATGACTCTTTGATGTATTTGGATTTAAAGCCACTATTCTACCTTCAGACAGACTATGTATGTAGGTTGCTTTATTTCTCTTATGTTTTAGTCACCCTGTACCCATTATAGGTGCAGGGTGTGTGTAATGTAATTGTTTATAGTGTGTGTGTGTACTGTGTAATGTATTGCCTGCTCTCCTGTACTGCTGAGGTTTGCTACCAACTAGGTGGGTTTGGCTATGGAGCTTGTCTAGTGCCCTCTGTTGGTAGCAACAGCAATATGCACTACCTGAATAGCAAGACTGGTTCATTTGCATATTCGGGTAGATTTGCATATTGCTAATTCTGCAGACACGCAAGATATTTTCTGTTAAATATTGTCTCCCCCACACCTTTAAAAATGTGCCATTGTGTTGTGATAAGTCACTGTGTGTTGCCTGCTATGGTTGACTGTTTGTGATTTTATTGAGTTTTCACAGCAATGTTAATGTTGTGACCCTATGGGCTGGTCCCAAGGGAAATAAAGGTTTAGACAGTTCTGCTTGACCTCAAAATGAAGTGTCGTCTCGTTATTGGGGGAATTGGATTGTATGCTGATTGCCAGGAGTGTAAGCTGATTGTATGCTTTTCCTGTTCGGCTGCTTATAGCATTCAAATGCTTGAGAGCATTCGTATGCTTCTCCGGTTCGGTGGTTGTGGTGTCTGCTGAAGTGCTTGGAGTCGTCAGGAAGCGCTAGGAGTATCCTTCAACGGAGGTACCCAGTCGGGGTGCCAGGTGATCCGTTACACAAGTCATTACCAAGTCCTTAACACTTGCATCAAGTCATTGTAGAAAGGGATAACACTCTACCTGAAGTCTCAGCTGAGGCACACACACCAGAGATCTTCAACATATGTGTAGAAATCCAATTGGCATGGACACACAACAGGTTGTTAATATTCAAGCAGCAGTATTGGGTCAAGAGAAACCAAATGACAATGTTTCTGTCCCACTATGAGAACTTTGTTAAGTCTTGCCAAAGGTCTCATAATGAGACTGAAACATTGTCACTTGTTTTTCTTGTGAGCCAATAAATCTGCTTTAAAATTAAGAAGCTGTTTAGACTTGTGGGACAGACTCAAAATGAAATACAAGTTCACATCGTTCCTCTCACTACTAACACAAATACTGCGCAACAAACTATTCCCGCCAGGCTAGATAGCTCTCCATTTTCGCAACCACAAAAAAAAAAAAGAAACGTATATAGACTCATGCATCTCTATCGCAACTCACAACCATTAGAATATGCAGACCTCCCAGACAAGGACGGACTGCAAACCACAGACTTTTTCCGCTTTCTCCAATTACAAGACTTGGCAAATAACCCAGCAGTCAAACAGGCAGGCACGGCCCCACCCACAACATTCAAACAACAAAGCATGGACTCACCCATAACTAAAGGAGAAATTTCCAAAATGTACATATCCCTAACAACACATACCTCACAACTCAAATTGCTGTATATTCTAGCCTGGGAACAAGACCTTGGCCCTCCAGAGGACCCAACTGACTGGGGGGATATATGAAAAGTGACTAGCACCCTAACAATCTCTGTGACACATAAAAAACAGGCCTTCAAGACACTCTTCCATTGGTACCTCACACCCCACAGACTATACAAAATGGGTCAACTCCCAACGGCAGACTGTTGGAAACTCTGTGGCGACCAGGGCACATATCTCCATTGCTGGTGGTCCTGTCCCAAACTGCAACTATTTTGGTTAGAGATTCAAAAACGAATTGAACTAGTACTGGAGAAACCATTCCGGCTGGCCCCCTGGGCCCTACTACTGTCCAGGACGACTGACACTATCACTATGACTAGACACAAAAGCAAATTAGCAGCACACATGGCCTTGGCAGCGCGACTGGTGAATTATGGGCCGACAAACGCTTTCCGACGCTCACCACAGTGAAATGTAAAATCAATGAGGCATTAGAAATGGACAGACTGACTGCAGAACTCCATGACACATCTAAGGTGTTCCACAGAATATGGGACCCATAGGTCAACAGTGGGATGTGATACATCCAATTGTAAGAACAAACCATCCACTCTCTGACACATATCCACACCCTCTAAGCCACATTGTAGAAACCGGAAACTAAATACCTGCTCCCCACCCCCTACCCTGCACCCTACAACTCCACCGTGGGTGACAGGGGGCTCCCTAGGACCGCCTACTCTTCTTGCAAACTGCTACACTCTTTTCTTCTCACACCTCTCCACACTCCACACAAGCCACACTAACGAATTTACAACCAAACATCACTCACTCCATACCAGCTAACTGTAAATAGTTCTGTACCCTTACCCACGTCCCCAAACCTAAGAGACCAACACAGGGCCTAAAATCTTAGCAGCCATGTAATGGCTATGAGACAATTGGAATCACAAGAGGCCTGAACACCAAACACCCTCATCCCCCATCCCAGTTCTGTTGTAAATAATACCCTTTGGCACTAGCAATGCGTTCCCTGACCAGGGTCCAACCAGAAAACCATGAAGAAGTGGACTTGACATTACCCAAATAATTATAACTCCCCAAAGGGAACACTCACAACTGAGTGCAAGGCCTGACCTCCATGAGGCAACACCCTAAAAAAAAAACAAAAAAAAAAAACCCTGTACACTGGTTTGTAACCATCAGTTAAACTCCCTTGTTCCACGAAGGGTTAATGTCGTAGCTATAATTGCTGTTTGCTTGACATATTGTAACGGTGTCGTACAATATTCTGTATCCCATCTACTTTGGAAAAACATCAATAAATAAAGAATGTTAAAAAAAAACAAAAAAACATTAAGAAGCTGTGTGTGTCCATGCCTATTGGATTATTACCATGATGTTCTTTGGGATGGGAAGAGGATGGAACTAGATTGAATAATCAGTAAAAAGGATATAAATATGGTAAAGGAAAGAGACATCTAAAATGGAGGGACGCGTACAGGGCGTATCAGGACAAATAGAATTGGGCACTGATATGTGGTACCCACAAGCAGATTTCTTTGCCAGCACCCCACATTATTAAATGCTCCATCATAACCCTAGTAACCGTAAAGAAAAAATTATTAGTAAAAGTGTGAGGAGTTTAAAAACTGCAAGATGCTCACAAGTTGAACCTTTTTCTGGTCTGTATATTTTTTTATATCCTGTGTGAAAAGGTTGTATTAACTTGGCATTGCTCTTGTTTACCTCTTAAGGGCT